GGGGGGGGGGGTTTGTAACAGAATGTAAAAAGAAATATTTTGCAGCAACATATCAAACAGGCAGATAAGTTAATTTTGTTCTTACCTGGAGCCCCTTGGAGAGAGGGCAGAATAGCACCAAGTGCACAAACCTTCGTAGCTTCCTCATCCTTGTGAATCATGGGCACTTGTCCAACAGTGAGATATTAGGGCATGGATCTTCTTCAGGATGCCTATACTGAATACACTTAGGGGTATTTATCCATACTTTGCTTTAAAAAAACAAATAATTTTGCCTCTGTGCAGCCCAAGTCTAAGGGATGATCAGTGTTTACTTTGCCTCTCTTATCTGTTCCAGAGTCCTCCTTTGGCCATCCTCAGGCTTTGCACCCTTTTGAAAGGCTTACATTGGGGGTCAGCAGGAGGTGAACACCTCTTCTCTGCATGTTAGGCAGGGCACCCCATTTCCCGTAGCTCTCCTTTTGCTGTTCCCACTGATGAGGCTGTCTGTATTCAGTGTACACAGAATGAAATGTTTATCTCTGGCTATTCAGTGGGCTTTGTGTCCCCTTCTTAGAGATTTGCTAGGTCTGGTTCTCTTACTGCTCACAAAAGGATTGTAGTTCTTTTCAAAGCCTCCCCAGGAGAGATTTCCAATTTCGTGTAGCCGATGGTCACTGTGGGCTGGCTGACAAGGTCTGCTCCTTGTGCGACTTGAATTCCCCTGCTTGTTGCTGTAATGAATAAAAGAGAGCTGTTCCAAAATGACTTGTCCATACTAGTGCAATCTTGGGAAGTGTGCCTTCTAACTGTTTCTGGGTTATGGGGCTCGTCAGTTAATTCCTATATCACCCTGACCTTTCCCAACCACATGTACTTTTTCCTGGGGTCACAGAAATCCCTGTATACTACTAAGTCACACACAGGACACCCCGTGTTCCCTGATTCATACAAGGCATTCAGAGCTTTACCCATATCCAATTCTTGGGCATGTTGACCCCCTCCAGTCACTCTTCTCCTTTCTCCTCTGCTGACCCTCTAAACCCTCTTCTTCCAGAACAAGCTGTGCTCACCCAGTGTAACGTTCCTATACCCCGTACAATCCACCTTGTTCCCCCAGTAGCGACCTTCTTCTCATACAGGTCATTCTATGATCCTTCCTCACCCAGAGAACCCAATATGTCCCTCTCTTCACTCAGGACACCCTCTATAGCATCCTCTCACTCAGGATAGCTTGAATTGCCCCTGGCTCCTCACCTAAGACACATTGGAAGCCCACAGATATACAAAATCCCCCTTTTACTCCCCAAGCTAACCTACATCACCCTGTATAGTCCCTCTATGTAACACGTATTCCCTGAGCACACCCTGTACACCCTCCAGTTACACTGGATACACCATCAGCCCCAGCTCCTGTGTGTGCAGCCAGTGATGGTCCTCAGCTCAGCAGCACCATGATGATTGCAGCCCCCTCCTCCACCTCTCTCCTCCCCTATTTGATAACAGTGATGATGATGATGTTGGAGATAATCTCTATTATAACCGGTACATTGCCGATTTCTATCCCCGGTGGTGGGTGCCTCCTCTCCGGTCTCTAGCTGGATGTTCTTCACACTGCTGCACCAGCCTCATCCTCCCAGACACACACTGCTCTGCTGCTTAAAGGGGAGGATTTCTGTCTGCCGACAATAAACCAGTCACAGGAGGAGGAGCAGGTGCAGGCTGTACATCTCCAGCCTCAGATGCTGCAGAACCTCTTTCTAGGCAGACTGTGCTCCTTCAGATGCTGCAGATCATTATCCCATGACTGTCAGTCAGTGTGCCAGGGGTCAATTTCAGAAATGCATTTTACACTTCTATAAATACTATAATAATAATACAAATAATATATAATTCTAATTATATCGCACTGGATTCACATTATAGTGTTAAAAAACTCGACTGCATTTTAGCACGCAATAGCTGCATTTTTCATGTATTTAAATTTTTTTTTAACACAGCAAAATGTCCAAAATATTGAAATAAAATGCATTTAAGGGTAAAATGCTTATGTGTGAATCCAGCCCTACGCTTCATATTATGCCTTTTCTGTGGGGGTATAAAAAAAATAATAATTATATATATATATATATATCTGTCATTATACAAATATGATGGTTGGTAACTAGGTACAATACCACCCCCATTGTTTCAGTGAGGCGTTTCCTAGGTAATGCAGTGAAGTGGTGGCCATCTTGGGGTAGATGGGGGGCTGGACATGGTATATAGTATAATTAGTGATCTGTAATTAGGGTTAATTCACTGAGCTGTATGAATTATTTTAATTGTGTTTATTATTTTAGCTCACAAAAATGTTCTCATCAACATATTCAACTAATGCACTTACAAAGGCCTGGAATTGTTATTTCACCATGAAATAATAGCTTTTGAACTACTGCAAACCTTTCTTTCCCATGAATTACTATTTTATCTCCATCTGTGATGACTCAGTTTTCAGCTCTCCTCAATGGCCACCTCTTAATTCTCACAATTATAGCCAATCAGAGGCTAGCGCAATTACATAGAGCGAAAAGCCATTGATTTTTATGTTCCATATAACATAAAGCTCCATAATATATCAGGCATGCATTATTTTTAAGCTGACCCCACTGATAAAACGTTAAGCTATTGAAAACATCCATTTGTGAAGTCCGTGTACACTGACTCATACAGCTCTATAGGACATAATTAGCACAAAAGATATTTCGTAACCAGTCAGCTTCAACCTTTGCATATACACCAAAATGGCAAACACTGCCATGTTCTGTACCTTGATTTTTCAGCATCATGTCTTTGTGCTCAGTGATTCGATGATACCACCAGTAAATTGACAGATTAGATGCTGGTTCACTAAATGCCTTGCTCCTCTGAGCAGAAGTGACAGGTTCTCTTGAAAACTGTCCCACAACGTAGTTACTGAGCTTGTCAAAGCTTGACACTTGCCATAATTCTCGGAGAACCATTAGGCACAGTAGGTTCTGTTAAAGAAAAATATATTTTTTATATAAATAATATTCATATTTATTATTATTGTATTTTTTCATTTAAATGCAGACCATTCATCAAACAAAACAAAGCCCAGACAGCATTGTAGATGATGAGAACTGGATCAAACATGCAGCATTTTTCCACGTGCCCTGTATTGGGAGCTATTGTACGATAAGGGGCAAAACCAGCAGATCCAGGGTGAATCCATTCAGTTGCTTTTATACTTTTATTTTTCCACAACAATACTGTGTTGTAGCCTGTAGGATCTATATGGGGCAAGAGCCATAACAAACTTACACGTGCTATAGGGCCAGATGCACAGAGGGCCCGGCACTATCTGGATACACAGTGATTTAGGCAACCACTAGTAGCAATGAATAATTAATGTATATATAGACTGGTAGTAATTGCTACAAAAAGTGATTAGTATTCCTTGTCACTAGTTTTATCAGTTCATGATGATATTTATTATAGACATGTTCTCTAATTCTGAATGAGGCAACTGAAATCACTATAATTGCTGAACTGCTGCTGCGATAAAATACATTTCAGAAAAATGAACCCATTAACCTGTGAGGATGGCACTGCAAACATGAATGCTTTTCTGAGTGTTCAATATTAAAGTGGACCCCCAGTCACAACCTATTTTTCAGGTTGTTATTGATACCAGTGTCACTAATGGGGTGATTACCCTGCACTTCCTTAGTTCACCTTTGTCACGGTGACAACAGGAAGTGAAGGAAAACCTCCCAAACAGGGACACAGACAGCAATGACAATTTAACAGAATATTTCATTCTTTTTAATGTATTCACCAACGTGGAGGAGGAGCATTGGAATTAACTATATTCTGTTCTGTAAGGCTCTTGAGGTAACCACGGTAACCCACACACAAAATGGCTGTCAAAAAAACCACAATAGTTTCTACTTGGCACAATATAAAAAAAAAAAAAAGGCACTTTAATCTTGTGCACAGAACAGATGGGGATGTATGACCACACTGTCATATAATGCACAATTTATCATAAAAGTGGAGAAAGATGATGTGTTCCCTTAACATGGTAGAGTGTTGGCTGGAAGTAGCTTGTCATGAGAGATTGAAGGTGGCACTGTGCCCAGAACTGGGACTGTTCCTTCTGTACTGCAAAGATCCGGCAGCATCCTAAGTGACATGCTGGGAGGTGATGTCAGAGAGACTGCTGTGGGACTTTCACAGCGGCTAACAGCACCAAGGAACCCCCTCATCACGGAACTGCAGCAGATTGGATACCATGGACAGAGAAATGCAGCTGGAAAATAACAGCTTTGTGGTTTCTTTGGAAGATAAAAGAGGTGAACATTTATATATGTATTAAAATGTTTTGGTAAAAAAAATGAATATTAAGGCAAAGCTCTGGTCTAAACGGAAAAAAAAAATCTTTAGTCTGTAACATGAACTCCTTTTTCCCTCCTCCCTACTTCCGGTTTTGTTCAAATGGGCAAATATGCAGTTTCAATTAGAGGAAGGCAGTCTGAAAGAAAACACTTCTCCTGTACCTGTTCCCTTCATTGGTAAATATATGTAAAAAAATATAAATTGTCATTAAATCTTATAAAGAAAAATACATTTGACCTCCTAATGCAAAGCTGCCCATACACCTTGCGATCATCGGACAAAACTTTTCGTCCGATGATCGAACCGTTGTACAATTTTCGTACGGCGGCCCCATCCTGCCCCGATTATCGCAAGGTTGAATCAGCAGTAATGAAAATAAAGCACCTGGGCGAATTGCGTTAATAGACCGCACTTATTTTCGTCTGCGCATGAGCAGTGTAAATTGTACGAATTTTGACGTACAGAAACGCCACCAACCTTGCGAAAATTGTACGATCGACCGAAGTTTTCCAGCATGCTGTTTAGTCAAAAGTCGATCGATTGTACAGTATTTGCGGTAGTACGCTGCCCATCAACCTTACGAATATCGGAGTGTTTCAAAGTGTATGCGCAGCTTTACAATCAGCCTTGAGACTTCACTGTCTGCTGGTTATTACTCAGCACTGCTTAGGACTCTGTGGCAGCATCTACTATAATCAGACCAGCTTAAGTAGACTGCTGGACATTCAGTCTGTGCTGGATCAAACTTTCATGGAGTTCACTGAACCCACTGTGTCACCAGAGGTGACTACCAACTCACATGCAAGGAAGATGCTAGAGCAAGTCTTTAGACAGCTGTTCAGAACAAACAGCAGACAGTAAAAGGGTCTGCAGGCTGATGGTCAGACCAGGCCCAAGAAAACCAATCCTTAACAAAATCTAGGTTCTAGACAGGTGGGTTGCAAATAAACTGACAATAGCAGTGCTAACAGGCTGATGATCAAGATAAGAAAACGCTAGCTAGTAAAGATGCAGTCCAGTCAATTGGCAGGAATAATCCAGGGAATCAACAGACAGAACTCAATTCAGTTGTATGAGCAGACAAACTTAACTGTTGATCAAGCATAGGCTGTATGTCCAGCAGTATACTTAAGCTTTCCTGATTAGTGCAAGTGTGCACTACAGAGACCTGAGCTGACGTGGTGAGTAATGACTTGCAGACGATAAAGGCTCAAGGCTGATTGCTACAGAAAACATTATCGTTTCCCCTAAGCTAATGAACTTGCATGCACATCTAAAAACATAAATATAAAGACTGTAAATTTACTTAAAGCCAGAATGAGATATTATCAGCAGAAATCAGCCCGCTTCACCCCAAACCTTTCCCTGGCAGCAATGACATAAACTTTTAAAAGTCTGCAGTAGTTATTGTAAATGATA